TTCTACCACTATCTAGTCTGCGTCCTTGAATACTCGAGTAAATGCATGATATGGCTGTGCAAGATAAGCCATATCTATGCGTTAATAATCTGTGGCTTTAGTCTAGAAGTGGCACATCCCAAAAATACTTAAATGGTGGGGTTTCCGAGGAGCCTTCAGTCTTCAACAAAAACAAGAAAGTTTTAAAACATTCGATCTGTTTAACAACGACCTGTCCGCGCACAAACCTTAGTGGTTTGGATGACTGTCGACTAACGCAGAACGGAAGAACCACTGCCAGAGCAGGAAACGGCTGGCGTCGTTTACAGTTGTGGACAAAGCAACTACTTCGAAAAAACGGGAAGACTACTCTGGACGTAAATGAACGAGCACGCAGCAGCAGTGAGAAAGAGGAAAGACGCTAACCCCCAAGTTGCAGCTCACTCGAGGGGACCTGGTCATATTTTAATGATGCCGAAGTCCTAGCAAGAGGTGAAAATCGTGTTAGCCGCAGGCTCCTCGAGTCATGGTTCTTAGACCTACAGTGAAACAAAAGACGCAACGATCTGCCGTTAACATGCTCCGTATTGGGACACTGCCTGAGCAGATGAATCACTCACATGGGAAGGGCTGGGCCCAGCGAAAATTTCCACAACAGCGAACATAATTGTCGCGTAACTACCAAGCCCGCATCCAAAATTTACAAAAAAATCTAGGCAATTAATAACCCGAAAGCGAACTGTCAAGCCAGCACCGCACTACGCACAACCCCAACGGTGATTACGAGAGCTGACGATTACACTGCGCATGCGGATGGCCGCTAGGAACTGTAGATACTGCGCAATCTTTGCATATATCGCGCCAATCTTTGCGTGTAATACACTGCTTTGCGATTACCTGTGATTGAGGGTTCTCGACAGAATCCGAAACGTCAAACAAAAAAGCTCCTTGTTCCAGCGACCGAATCTTCTAATTCTGCAGTAGTTTGATATTGCCCAGCATTAAGGACTAGATTTCACTAGGCGCCCGTTTAACATGAGCGCTTTGATGTGTTCGAACCCACATGAACAGAGAAAGCGAACGTGCATGGTTCCCACAGACAAGGTTTTAACGTAGTCAACCACTGCGCCAGTGCTCAAGTAAACCGGTACAAATATCCTCCCTGCCTGGGGGCCAACTACTTCCGTCAGACTTTGGCTTGTGTACTAAAATTGCACGTTAAAATGACCTCAAGAATGAGCTAGAAAAATTGACGGATTACTAGGTCTATGCAAATTGCACACTCATCACTTCCTGACCACAAATGCGAAATCTATGCTCAAGCAAATATTTGGGCCGCAAAGTTGATTAGGATAAAAAAATAAACTTTCAGCCCAAATAACAGCTATAAATGTGTATATGTTTTAGACAGATATACCAGCCATGGCATGGTTGTTGTACCACAATTCATCTTCGTCTGAGTAATTTCCTTCCATGGAAGAGGATGAAAGCGATATCTTTTTCGGTGTCCATCTATCAGAGGGACTAGGAAACAGACGATTAGCAACTCCCGAACTTACCACGGATGTCCAGTTGAAATGTGTGTTGATGAAGTTGCAGAGTCGCTATCTCCCGGCAGATTATTAGTTGACTTGCTTCTCTCTGTAATAAAAAAAGAAAAAAAAGAAATTGAACAACACAACATGCAAAGCGCCAGGCAGTCTATCCTTCAGGAGAGTGGGGGACTAACCCGTTCTCTCTGTAACGATGGACTGCCTTTGTGGGCGAGAAGTCTCTACTGCTACTCTGTTGCCTCCATCGTACGGTACTTCCTTAGGTTTAATACCTCGACCAACGGTAGCAGCTGGCACACGTTGTGTTCTTTAATTTCTTTTTTCTTCCTTTATTACAGCGAGTAATACGTTGGATAACAATCATCCGGGAAACACCGAGGTTGCAACTGCAGCAACTATAATCGCAACTGGACACTTGTGGTGAGTTCGGGATTTGCTAATCGTCTGTTTCTTAGTTGCTCCGATAGATGAATGCGCAACGAGCTATCGCCTTCGCGTAGACAAGGTTTGAACTTGGTCCATCACTGCGCTAGCGCTAGCACTGGCGTATACCTGTAGCCTTGTCGTGGGTAGTAGTGTCCACAGCAGAAGGATTCCCCAAATCACAAGTCAAGCGAGACAGTGTTGGTGGACAGAAATTGACTGCCGGAAAATAGACGCTACAAAGGCTGCCAACGGCCAGGTAGGTCTGACCGCCAGATGTGCCTGCGACGTTGTGTTGGTGAGTCAATCTCTGGCTGCGAGACGAGGTCTCTAGCGGCTTCCGCCAATCAGATGACGCGGAATTATCGATTTATTTTGAGCG